AAGTCGGCAGATTACTATTAATTCATTGTTATTAATCAAAAACTTGTAACTGTTTTTAAATATGTTTAACTTCAAATAAAATTGCAATTATATTGACAGTATCAAACCTATGAACAAGAAAGCTAAATAGAGTGAAAGACAATGGTTTTTATATCACTTGAGAACAGCATTGTCCGTATGCTTATCAATAGTTTGATAATGCTTATCAATAGTTTTATCATTGAGTTACAAATATAAAATTAAATAGTCAGACAGAAAGTATTTTTATTCATAATGGATTCTTGAGCACCTAACACAAGAAAGTCAATATGCTAAGTTCTCGAACACTTGGAGGTTGCTTTAATGCCCATGTAATATGCATTAAACCACGTTGATCATTTTTCCTTGAAATACAGATAAAGATGGATTAGAATGTTTTAAAAACTCTAAATGTAAATCTGAATGTGCTGGTATTTTTACTTAATAAATCTCTTAAATAATTTCTTGAGTTGCATTTTCATGTAAAAGATTGATTTTTTGAATGGATGAAACAGATACTAACGAAGTATAATTTTAGATCATCTGAAGAGCAAGTGAGTTTCAAAAATTATCAATGAGCAGAGGAAAAATGGTACCGTCGATTCTAACGTCATAAGATTTCTATCATGAATGCCATGATGCTGATTATGGAAATACCTAATGCAATGTGTTAGATCTGTTAGCAGTTATATTTGCTATATAGTCATTTAACAGGCGGTACAGTAACTCAACTCGTGGTAAGGAAATTACAGTTGCTATGAAATGATTCGGAATACTGCTTATGAAACTGTTCAGCAGCTTTGTGAGACCCGTTCTCCCGCCTTCATTTCTTAAAGTAGTCTGTTGAACGTTACCATTATGCATGATTTAGAGGTACTCGAAAGTTAACAGCAAGGAATATTCTATATATGATCAACGTGGACTGTTCAATGAGCGAGCTGGTCAATCCAGGTATGTTGTAAACTCAGATTCTAAGCACTGTATTACCAAGCTAGACGGATTGGAATATACAGGGTGTTTCAGCAAATCGATTACAAACTTTCAGGAGAGGTAGATTATACCTAGGCGATGGAAAATAATACACCAATGCATGATCGAAAAGGCTTTCCTATCAAGATAATAACAACATAAAACACAAGAAAAGGTGAACATGAACAAGGTGAGAAAATACGTTTATTATGTTTAGTACAGCAGAAATCAAGAACTAAGAATAAAAATAGACAATGATCGTCATCAAAGAAGGTGTTCGAAATTACGATGCCGGACCCTGATGCAGGCCTCACATCTCCGGCATATTTAAGATCTGATGTTCTGGAAAATACCGGGCTTATCCCATACTTCCCCAGAGACTGCCAAGATGCGTACAAATTCCTCAGCACCTCTAGCGCGGATTTCGTACATCAGTGTCTTGAGATCCTCCCAGAGGCAGTTAATGTAATTGAGGCCTGGCGATATTTCTCTCCAATGCACCGGACCACCCCTGCCGATACCATGTTAAGGATACGTTTCGAACGTAATTTCGAACACCTTCTTTGATGACAATCGTCTGTTTCTGTTCCTATTCGGCCGTATCAAGCAGAACTCATAGCCACACTAAACACCGTTATGCAACTTAGAGACATAAAAACAGATACCATCCATGCAATCACCGACAGTCAGTCCTCCATACATGCCATCAAACAACAGCACACAATAGCCCGGCAAATTAAATATATCATAAGCACAAGTAATAAGAAATTTGTCCTGTCATGGACCAGAAGGCACAATGCTTGTGACAGCAATGAGCCAATTTTCTAGAAAGACAGGCAGCATTAGAACAAACAAAATCTCAAATTCATATCCCATGGCCTAAATCAGCATTAATGTAGAAAATAAAACTACTGGCGAAAGAAAACTGACAACATCAATGGGATCGAGGACCACAAGGACGACGTACGTTCGAACTGCTTCCCAAGGCTGGCGAAAGTACTACAATATCAACCTACTTCCTTCCCCAGTACTCTGGGGTCACGGTCCCTTCACCAAGTATTTTTATAATCACAATGTAAGCTTCTTCGGATAGATGCATATGCTAGAAGAGCGGAGACCCTGAACATTACATGTTTCAATGTCCTCTAACGTCATCCCATCACATTCGCCATCCCACCGATACTGGAATAGAATTCAGGAGACTCATCATTATTAAGCACCGTAAAGTCTTCCAAAACATAAAAAATATTGATTTCCTTCACCGCCAAGGACTGCACCTGAGTCATCCATAGCAGGCAAATAAAAATAATTCTCCAAATTCGGAAAAGGCAACAATAAGAGTATCCACTCTCCACCCTCATACTATGCAGGAATGCCTTTAGAAAACACACATAAATATATCCTTTTATTGAGGCAATCGTGACTTTTCTCATACTTACTCTAACTACGAACTACGAACTGACTTCATACTGTGTAATGAGTGACAGATACACTAGTACTACGCAGTCAACACTATGTACCATGAAATGAATTCATAAACTGTGTGATGAACTATGAACTGTACTGTGAATGAACTTATAAACTGCGCACACCGTGTAACAGAAAACCAAACAACGAACCACGTGTTATAATCTTTCTCCTCCACCAACAAAGCTCTAAACAGAAGTACAAAAGAAATATGTATATGTTCACCTGTAAATAACTTATTGTTATTCATCCGTGCAATTGCAAAATGCCCGTGTAAAGTACAGGTTATGTCAATTTTGTCTGTAATGCAAATTATACACCATTAATATATATTTATTATGAATGCTGCAATGTAAACAAATATCCGAGCTTGGCGTTTGTGTACCTCGTGAGGGTGCACTTCCTTCCATAGATGGTTAGTGAAATGGAGCGATAACACGTTTGCCCATGGAGATGTTTTGGAGCCTCTGCACTTGTCTTTCTGTTTTTTTTTTCTTATTTCTAGGATTTGCTGCACTCAGCATAATGAACAAATACTCTCACCATGTTTGTGTCCTTCCTTTATAGTGTTTTTTTGTCGTCACTACCCCGTCAGGAAAGCGTTTCCGACCATACATCACTGTGTTTTTTCCATCCTATCTATCTCTCCTGAAAGTCTGTAACAGTTTTGCTGAAACACCAGGTATATTGTCGCCTATATTAAATTTCATGATCAGATGTATAGCTTAAGCATCCTCATTTATTACTGTATAATCTAAAACACATGAACAAGTATAACCCCGAGATGATAAAATTAAAAACAAATTGGCGTTTCAGCTCAAAGAGAACATTCTTTAAGAAGAATTACATACATGTTTATATAACCGTCCTAGCACTGTTACGTAATGAGATTCAAAAATGACATCAAATTTAATTTATACAAAAAGAAACACTATGCATGCGTTTGGTAAAATCATCTGAAAGGAAAAAAAAAGTACTTGAAAAATCTAGCAAACTGATCCAAGAAAGAAGTTCAAAAATGTTATTTGCAGCTATGCGGTTTTGAACTCTGTGGAAAACATTTAGAAATAAAATATATGTTGTAGTAGTAAAGTGTGTTAGCCGTAATGTTAGCAGATGATTTTTAGATTATGATTGTTCTAACGGTTCTGGCATCAAGCCATCGGAATCCGTAAAAGGTGAGATATTTCGAATTAATTTAAAATCTTGAATGTAATATAAAGATTTGAAACTGAATAGGCATTAAAAATACGCACGTTGAGAACCAATAGTTTATAGGAGAAACAGAACTGATGTAAACACATTGCCACCCATAGTTGTGAAATCAAAGTAAAGTGTTCAGTGCAATATTCTGTCTGAGTCTGCATTTGTCATAAAATGAACGGAGTGTACATACATACAAGGCCGCCTTGCTTGCAGGAAGATTTAATGCAGCTAATCATTAACCGTTTGTCTAGATCCCCGAAGCTGTCGAAAGTCTCTGAACCAATGTATTTTCCCTGCTGGTTGGGCGGTTCTCCGCATTTAATCCTAAATATGTATTCTGTCATTCACATTTGAGTCGTGGCTAACGTAGATCATATTTACCTTTGAATATTTTCGAGAAATTGGAATTATCTTTAAAGCTTATGACTGGCTTTTAGTAGAATGTATTTCCTTGGGACATTTGCATTACAGTACAGACAACCTACATTTTTCCAGTAATTGTATAGTGCTGTCGATAGGGCTTTGATATGCCATCCAGTGTATAGTCCTGTCGATGGGGCTTTGATATACCATATTTATTGTATAATAATCTGTACAAAATCTAACTGCTTTAAACATTAATATTTGGCTACGTGAGAATAGGCGAAATGTCGCTCCTCATTGAAAAGACTTAAAATAATTGGTTCTTCAGCTTAGTAGTAATCAATAAAAATGTGTAATAACAGAAACAGCCCCTGCAATTTGGAGGAATAACAGAAACAACGTTAAAGAAAATTTAAGTATTAAACTAATATAAGATTTCGAATTCAAATTTTTGTTTAAATGCACTAACTAATTTTCATACTAGTGGAAGCCAACGAAAGTGGAAGCTACAATAAAGGCAAAATAATAAGGTAATTGGTTAATAAACATTAAATTCTACTAATCATCTTTTGAGGATGAAATACAATGACGGTATTTTCAAATGTTATTTTTAAATTTTTAAACTCCATTTAGTCAACCCGACTCAAATGGATATTAAACAAATTTTCTTACATGCAGTTTTATAGAAACATGCACTGTACTTTACAGGTGATGTAGCACTGTTGGTCTGAAGGTATGGATATGAGCATATTTCCGAATATAGTGTATGTTTCATAAACCTTCAAGGACAACAAATATTTTTTAATGTTTATTCATCGGAAAACGTCACTGCAACACATTTGCTGTATTTCGTTATATAAATTACAGCAAATCATATTTATATACCTAAGTGATTATATGGCTGAGGGAAGGCATACCATCCCTTAGGCATATAAATGTCATTTTAAGGGAAATTGCTCCATATACACTTTACACATGGGAAGAACACGAAAAGTCGCATCCATCCAGACCGTTCGTCGGAACTAGAATACACGTCGAACTAGTACTAGTTATCAGCGACAATGGTGGATCCGCAGCAGCATGAAGAATCTGTAACATTCAAATAAACGTCAATATATTTATGAAATAAAATTTTAAAAAAAACTATCTATTAACATCTACCTAAAAATTCCAAAATAGGCATTAATAATGAAGATTTAACAAAGTAAAATAAAGAGTAAATACGCAAATCGAATTTTAAATTAGCAGGCAGGTTTACGATTTAGCTGCCTCTGCATACACCAGCGTGAGTCTTGTTTAATGAGCAGAATAATGTGAAATGCAATCATTAATTATTTCAATCAGATTCCTAACGATATTTTTTTTATAAAATGAATTCTTATTAGAAAACAAACAATCAAAACAATCATTCACATCTACGTTTTTTCCCGTTAGATACGACAATATCTCAGCAAATCTTTAGCCAAGTATATTGGCTAAAGCAGCCATTTCTTTGCCAAGTATGCTGGCGTTCTTGCTATTATTTCTGAAACATATTTTAGAAATAACTGTTTTTACAACAATTAAAACGTTGTTATAATATTTGAGCTAAAATGTCCATCTTTAAGCATATTTATTATGAAATTAATACTTTCCTTTATACATATATGTGAAATCAATGAGAATTATTTTAAACAAAATTTTAAATTTTGCCCCTTCAACAACTATTTTCCTACCTTATCATTTTTGGTTTAGAAAAGGCCAAAGAAGTTATAACGTGTTTTATTAACTTAGATTGTACCTAATAAATAATATTGCTTTTTACTCTTTCTTTCGTACTAAATTAAGGAAAGAATTTTTATTTTAATTTTCATAAACCAAAATGCATAACCTATTTCTACATATCTGGTGAGAAATTTTTGGGGTGCTTTCATCTTCTAAGTTAATAGATTTTTCAAAATAAATATTTTATGTGTAAATCACAGAAAATTAAACATTCTTGAAAAAATGTATCATGAACATAATTCCGTGTGATTTGGAAAGAAGAGGATTGGAACTTAGATTCTGGAGACCTTCTGTAAACTGCAGAATTGTTTTAGCGGCATTGAAAAACAAAGGCAATTCTCGATCAAATAAAACTCTTATTCTGGGTTAGCAGCCAGAAAAAATACCTTTTCATCATTCTATCTTGCTGTTATTTTATCTTTGTTGTTTTCTTTTTTTGCTCTTAAAATATAACTAAACTCATAAACAGACTTTCATAAATAGAAACTGCTCAGGTAAATTGCTCGAAGACGGAACAAACCTCTTCAAAAATTACAGTACCTTAATGTTCTTTGCAGAAGTACCATTTCAGCGCCATTAACTGAGTTGTTCCATGATATTTTGGGCGAATGAGTATTCTGAAAACTTCCCAAAAGAGCCGGGGATGGCTGACTCGCAGCCAACTGATAAAACTTTTATATCTAATATTTCCGTGCTAATGCGAGAGAGATTTGGTAGGAAAAGGGGCCGTCTTCCAACATTTCGAGAGAGCGAAATGCCGAGACTGGAGGGACGTGTGTCAGTCGCCAGTAACTAAGCGGAAGTGAAAAAGCGAATTGGAAGATAAAACAGGCAAAATTTGGCATCGAGTTGAATCCGTAATGGTGATGAGAATTCCCTTGAAAGATGTGGATGAAAAGGGAAAAACCAAGTTTGAGAGACATCACAGAGAACAGTGCGAATTGCCTGCCATTCTCTCGCAAAAGTAGGCAGAGGAGACGGGTATTTTGGAAATCGATTTTCGCAATGGTGAGGGGAAGGTGTTATATTTCGCAGACTTTCTGCAACTGTGGTTTAACGATGCGTGGATTGAAAGTTGAGTCTGCTGAATTCTAATTTCATAAGGCACAAAGGGAATTGGAGACAGAAAGCGAAAATTGTCAGCACCCTTATAAGTTCAAACATAATCCTTCTTAATGAGAGAATGTCGGGTATTATTAGCAGTCTGTTTTCAAAATTTTGCCAAGGCTCATCTACCTTTATTTGAGATAATACAGACTACCTCTTCTGACACCTTGTGTTAAGTTATGAGTAGTATTATGTGCTTTGATTTCAGTAATTAGAATTTTCAATGTTAAAAGAGATACGTAAGTTTCCCTTGAATAAGATCAAAACGACTTCGATGACAGATTTAAGCAATACACCATTTCCATTTACAATGCATAAGTATGAGAGTTTTATGAGAGATTTAAATCACGTATTGGCATCAGAAAAGTGATCAGATTCAGTGCTGGTACCTACCTGCAAAATATATTTATATTTTAATGGTTTTCATAGTTTCTTTGGAAAAAATATATTAATGGGGGCCGTTAAAATGTGCTCCAGAATAGCACGGAACAACTAAAACTCAATAAGATGTTCTTAATATAATAGCCATTTTGTAAAAAGGAAAATAATACAATATTTGAAAGTCTTCATTAACCGGGATATGTATAGTTGCATGAAAAGAAATTATCCTTTTATTTCCTAAATTCCAACGGTGAAAGTAATTTATGCATGAAAGAATTTAAATAATAAAGTACAGATTTATGCTCAAAATGAAATACCCTGCAAAGAAGGAAATGTTTACAGAATATAAAGAATTTAAGTCAACAGAAATTCCATGTTAAAATTTTACATAATTACTTAATTGACATCTGTAGTTAAGTCCTTTGTACAGTTATTCGAAATAATAACGCATGATTCATATGTAACATTCAAATAATAAGTAATTCGAAATGTTACATAGATTTTGTATTTATGATTGGAAAATAATAATCAGTTATTTTAGATATTTTTTTTCAGAATTTAATAAATTTATTACTTTATTTTTCAGTGCATTATACGAAGAGAAGTTGAATTACTTGAGATTTTAAAAAGGCGTCATATTACTGCTGTATGAGTTAAACATTTCTGCAAGTAAAATAACTTCAATATGCTGACGATCTGCACGCCTAGTATGATGATATTTTTTATCTGTAAATTCATCTTTTAGAAGCCCATTATCAGATACTTCTCCTAACATCTGTAACTCATCAGTGGAATTTACGAAATTAGAAAAGTCTTCTGTTCTTATGTTGAGAATTGTAGGGAAGGCAGTTTCACTTCTTCATTAGAAGCAGCATCTACTTAAATGTGATGTTTAACAAAATATCTTTCATGTTTAATTTCTGTTCCATAACGCACTACGTGTTACCGTAAGTAATGTTCATTTGATTAATAACGTTAGCGAGTGTAGTACTTACCTGTCGTACGTCGTTCTTCAACCATCTTATCACTCTGTTAAAGTTAGGTTGACACTGCTTCCTTAAGCGAAAATTGGACATTGTGATGGGACAAAATGATGAGGATTAATCATGCTAAAGGATGATAACAGAAAATGTATTTTTATGACAGAACTTGATCTTATTAATACACTTCAGTTACAAATCTCATATAAAAGTATCAACAAAATGCATTTTCCAGGATCATACTACATTTCTCTGCAACCTTTTAACAACCAGCATAACTAGATCTACTTACTTTTAACTTCTTATAATTATCATAAACTTCTCGTTTAAGTACATGACAGAAAAGCTTTATTGATTTAAAATTATTCTTCTAATTTCTATAAAAATTTTCTTCCAACAGGTGAAGTATTTCCTGGAACGGAAGGAATGGACTCTGCTGTATTAAAATTTTGTTAAAAATCTGATCGTATTTGATTCATTTAAAAAATATTTCAGCAAATTATCAGATACAGAAATCTTTTTTTTTCTGGCATTCATTTGCCTCATAATTATATATTTTCTGAAGGTAGTCAAATCGAAACAGAAGCTTCTTTTGTTTTGATATATGTGATGAGATCCTCTGTTAGATTTGCTTGTTTACTTCTTTTCATTCAGGTATGAATTTTAAATTCCCTTTGAACTTCTTAATGTTTTCAAAACTTCCGCTTTTTTCATGTAATCTAAAACGGTTTCCCAGGAATCCTCCTCTGTCTCAAAGCCTGTAACCTTAAAATTTTTTCCTGAGTCTTTAAGCACCAATAGCTGTTTCTTGACAGGAGTGTTAACACACGTTTCTATTTTCTGGACTCTTAAATTGTTTATAAAATTTATTTCAATGTTTAAAATATCGTCCTTCTCCAAGAGGACTAGGGTTTTGCCCCAAAACATTAAACGTCTCCATATGATCTCGGGAAAACTGTATTTTCGTGAATACAACTTTCTAGGTTGCGCTTTAACTTCCTTTCTTCCAACAAATGTACGATTTTAATTTTCTGGATACTTTTCAAGACTTATACCTATGTACTTGAAAGCTATAATAACAAATATTTCTGAACGTATATATACGGCTTAGCTGTTTGGAAGGTTAACTATACGCATGTTTGAAATCGAGACATTTATAAACGATGACCACCATTTGAAGCAGTAGTATCCAAGGCATTTCCGCAGCATAACAAAACACTTTCCTTAAGCAAGCACAAAACCTATCAAACAACGGTTAAACTTCTCTTATATGATTAAAATTATGAACTACAATTTATTTAAGTAAAAATTAGTCAATAATATTTACAGCTTTTATTTTATATGGGACAAAATTGCCTTTTTTAAACCTAAGCAACAGAATCAGAGAAATATCAAACAATTACTGCTGTCTCAATCATAACGGCAAGCATAGTCAATCTAATTTAGAAGGAGACATCAGTAACTCTTTCAAGAAAATTTCAGGTGATAAATTAAATATATAGTTGCTTTATCATTTGATTTGGTGGATGCATTTTAAGGTTTGTGCAAGCCTGCAAAAATTTACTTTCAGCTATGCTAAAAGAGAAGGAAATTGCTACGAGAGGGAAAAAAATCGAAGATGTCTGATATCGATTTTTGTGCGTTCGACAAGAAAAAGCTTTTAAACTCTTAGATTCGTACATTTAAGGCCATTTGCATGGCCGGCATGTGAACATAAAGAAATAAAAAGGAAGAATTGCCAATAAAAATAACCGTGATTTTTAAAAAGTCCTAGTAAATCAGATTTTCTTTTTAAATGTTATCTTTTATTTATCTTTTATATATTCTGCTTATGCTGGCTTATTTACCTCTTTTAAAGCGAACTGGACTGCTGTTAATGTGTCAGAAATATAGGTGTTAGATCTTCTCATGAAATGATCACTTGTAAACTGTAAAAAAAATGTGTTGCAATAAAACAATAATACACATAATTTTCTTTATTAGAGAAATTATTAGAAGAATTAAAGAGAAAGAAACTAGAATAAATAATTAGTTATCGCAAGTTGCAAAAACAACATAAAATAACTAAATTTATGAATTATTGCTGAGAATTCTAGATGAAAGTAAATGTGAATAAATATAGACTTTTAAATGTTGTATTTCATTAAAAAATTATGTATCTAAATAGTAAACTAATTTTTATTTATGTAGCATAATATAATAAAATTCATATCTATGTTAAACAACTAGCCTTTTCCACTTGATGAAAACATATGTGACACTTCCCATTTAACATGAATACCTTAGTTACCGTCCTCCCCCGCCAATTTGCCTAATATGTGGCCCCCAAATTTGCATAAATAAGTGACCACAGCTTCTGGCCTTAGTAGTGGCCGACGTCTATGACGATGACTTGTGCCCGCCATTGAGGGGGGGGGAGTTATATGTGCACATTAATGTGATAAAGATTTAGCCGAAATAAAATGTTTACTAACATATTATCAAAATTTACTTAATATGTAAGGTTACATATTAAGTAAGCTTTCAACACAGATGGACTTAGAAAAACTGAGAACATAATATCCTCAAAGCCTATTTTAAACCCTCGCTCTTACTGAATAAGCATTTGAGAAGAATAATTAATGTCAAACTAATTTTTGCCAGCAAGCCTGTTGAAAACATATTTCAATTTTAACATATTTCAATATTAAGTAGACTAAGTGTTAGCCTAAGCTTCTAAATGGTTTCTTACTAAACTATGATACGTGACGCATATTTATACTTTAACATTTTCACGACCAAAACTCCCGAGATGACCTTTCATTCAAACGACCACAACTGCCCGAAATGGCCGAGATTGCGATGTTGATTTTTTCCCTCCCCCTAGGCTATGAATTGGCAGGGCATTTCCCACAAATACATTGTATCAATTGCAAACAGCTTGTCTTAATTTATTTGTGGTTTGCTATTTTTTTGGTTAAGAAGTAGAAAGGAGCACCTTTAACACTTTTAAATCTTCACATTTCTTTAGGCGTTAATGGATGCGGAGGGGAGAAAATTGCTATGAATCTCGAAAGGTATTTCGGGCGTTTTGGTATTTTAAACATATAGGTTAGCGCAAGCTAGGCCTTTCTAAGTTAAACTAATTTGCAATGCGGTATAAGTTGTCGGAAGTAGAAGTACATTAAAGTCAAAATGATAACTGGTTAACAAAAGTAAAACCATATAAAAGCAGAATTATTTTTCACAGAACTATTAAAATTTAGGAAGCGATTTAGCTATATATAACGAATAAAATGTGTTTGAAAATCAAGCCGCACTATCTTCAATCCGCGAATTTTTCCCCCACTTCAATCAATCCACCTAGGCAGATAGCCCTAGTGTGCTTTGCCATAATTAAGTAAACCAGAAACCAATCAATCCACCAATAGCCGACTAGCTTTTGATCAATGACATTCAATAGGCCTGCAAGGCATTCGCGATCTTCAATTTAATTTTAATTTTAAAATCTAGTTAAATTTACTGCACTGCCCCTCATGGTAACAAAGAGATTGTTTTCAAGTGGCCTTTACCTGTAGGTCATTGGTTATCAACCGCTTTAAAGGACAATGGTGCTTGGATTTAATTTTAATTTTAAAATTTACCGAAATTTACTCTAATGCCACACACTAATGAACTGTGCGCCGACTGTACGTGACCGTTAAATTCATTGTCACCAGAAATAATTAGCCTTGATAAATACTGATATCCTTAAATTTAAATTTATAATTTATATACGTTTACTGAACTTCTTCACGCTGGTAAGCTAACATATAGATTTCAAAAAGCGTTTCTTGATTTCCTGTTTGCTATGGTTAGAAAGTAGACAGAAAAGAAAGAATTCTACCTGACGCTTTTTATTAGCATTGAAAGAAACAACACATTAGTGTAATCTCCGAAATTTCACCCGCATGGATGAAATATTTATTTACTCAGAATGAGACGAGTCAAACATGATCAAAACTGGGATGCTTTCACGAAATTTTCTGCTCAGTGTTTGCCGACGAAAGCACTATTTCTTTCTGCGGTATAAGCATTTCTTGTGATCATTTCTGTGAAATTAAAGAATGCAGAATGAAAGACGAAATAAAAGAAAAAGGAAGAAACTTTATCTGCCTGCTACGCAGATGGACGAATCATAGTTACGCCATTTATTTCAATTCGTAAAACTGAGTTTTGAAATAGGTATCATTATTGCTAAATCCATCAATACGGTTTTAATGCTACCAAAAACTGTTGTTAATACATGTATTAACAACAAGCAGTTGACGTCGTCAATTGACTGCAGTCAACTCGAAGTCAACGAGCATGCTACCGTTACCTGTAATAGCTGGTGGGGGAGTAACAGAACTAAGTATTAACTGTCTTGTATTTAAAAGAATAAATCAATCTGTTTATTACAAAAAGATAAAAAAATTCTAACAGAAGTTATCAACATAAAAGAAAATTAGTTGCGGAATATGTACTGCCAGGGGATAACAAGCAGTGATATTGCATATGATATTACAATTTAGTTGAAAGTCTTTTTTACTTAATTTCCTGTATGTAATTCGAAATGTATAAACGCTCTCAAGTCATCTGTTAAAAGCAAACTGTTCTATTTTTCGAAGTAAAAACATAATGTTTTAACTTATCTCTTGATGGCGTGCATATAGCTAAAAACTCAATGATATGCACGCCGAGCTTCGAACGATGGATCTTTCAAATGCTACCTGAACGCTCTACCATTTACACCACAAAAGCAAGCAAAGGAAATTTAAATGCAATCTAAATATGAAGTTCGTTTCATTTGACTTTTTGTTTGGTTATCAAAAGTCACAGAATGTACGATTCCTTTAAAACCTATAAACGTATCAACTGATATATCCTCTCATCTTTAAGAGAACTTCGAATGTATCAGTAATTAGTAAAGTGATCATAGAGTTGTGACAGATGTTTGCGTCAAATATAGATTTTCAGAGATTAGAGCGAAAGATTATAACTGTCTGAAGCGTCATGCCGCAGGAAATCGATTTATCGAAAATGCTATAACATTGACCATCGCAAACGCTGTGCATAGATTCGAAGTACATCCTTTTCTAAATCTGTTATTACTAAAATAACTACTGCTT